TCTCAGAAGAGTGGCTCCCAACCTTCAAAAACCCTTTCTCACTTTCCTTCTTCTGGGCCCTCATTATGTCCTGTTTGAGTAGCCAGCGGGGAGTGGTATGTTCAGATTAGTCATGGTTTCCAGCATTTATAACTGAACGTTGAGCTACTGAAATATCTTATTGCCTGAGTCTTCATCTCCTTTAGGGAAACCTTTTCCAAGTTTACTCTTGTCAGCGGTCACTGCTTTGCTGTTCCTCTCTCAAGGTTTTGATAGTATTGAGGTCACTTCACCAAGCAACCCTCCTGTTCAGATAGAGTCTAGTTCAATTTTCTGCATTTGAAGAATTTAAATAAAAATCCCACCATGATTGTTACTCAAGGCTGAGTTAGATGCAGCTCCGACCTACATGGGCTTGAAGCCACTAAGGAAAGACCACCAAATGCCACCAAGCTCAGTGTCAGCAGAAGGTCCAGAGTCTGATTCAGGAAAGAGACACTTCACTTCCTGTCTGGCCCCCTGATGTTCCACAGCCTCTAGAGGAGAAAGAAGTCTAATTGCAGGGTGATGTATTTGTATTGATAAATGTATGTCAGTGGGAATGAAGAATGTTTGTTGGCATACAGAGTTTATGAACAAATCACAAAAAGGTAAACATTCAGAGCTGCCTCTGGATGGCAAGTGAGAGTATTTTTCATACCCACTGGGGGTCTCATTCACATCCATGACTTCAACTTCCACCTCTGTGCAAAAGACTTCCTGATCTGCGTGTCCAGACACACCTCTTTGCTGAGTCCAAAGAGTATATTCAGTTAACATTTCTACCTGGATGACCCACAGTCACAGCAAACTCAACATGTTGAAAACTAAACTCACCCTTTCTCAAAGCCTGCCCCTCCCCAGGCATCCCCACCACAGGGAATGCCCCAGCAGAAGCTCGGCCACTCAAGCCAGAAACCTGGGATTTCTTCCCGACTTCTGATCTTCCCAGCCACCTGTCCTGTCCATCACCAGGTCCCGCTGGTCCTGTCCCCTCGACTTCTCTGGAGTCCCTGAACCACTTCCATCCCCTCTACCACTGTCTTCATCCAGACCCTGTGTGTCCTGCCCAGTGCACTTCATTAGCTTATTTGTCTCCTAGTTGGCCCCTTCAGTACATCTGACCCCAGCAGCCGTGGCAATCCTTCTGAAACACAAATGTTGCCCTTTGGTGTAGGACTCTCCATAACATTCCATTGCCCTTGGGTTAAAGTTTAAATCCCTTAACCTCTTGTACAAGGCCTCTGCCACTGCCCCTACCCTCATCTTCAGCCTCATCTCTTGCCATTCTTCCCTTTAAATGCTACGTTCCAGCCACATTGAACTTTTTCTCCTCCTCCAAAAACACTGGCTTTATATGTATGGCTCCCTCCTTCTCTCTCTTCTTTTTCTTGCTATTGAAATATAAAAGGCATACAGAAAAGAGCATCTATCACCTGTATACAGCCCAGTGAATTGTCTCAACTGGACATAACCTCTGACCTGTGCCCAGGTCAAGTACCTCACAGTGTCTGGTATTCCAGAAGCCTCCCCTATGCCCCTTTTTACTACACCCCAAGGGAGATCGCTGCCCTAATATCTGTACCTTAGACAACTTTTCTTACTTATATACATTGTGTCAATAAGAACATACAAATAATTTCGGATAGCTACTGCTGCATGCCAAACTTGATGGTCTAAAAGAACCTAAAATTCCCACCTTTGGCTTCATCATCCCTTCTAGCTCTGCTCTCTGACATCTGCTTCATCAAGCCTCATAAAAAGGCCTGTGTCCACCTGTCCTCGCCTCCCTGTCACTGGTCAGTGCGCGGCACCCATGCCTATCATTCTACTGAAACTGCTCTTATCGAAGGGCACTGGCTACCTCTTCCTGCTGGGGCCAAATGAGCATTTTCAGTCTTTTCCTACTTGATACTTGTCCCCTATTTCATTGAGTCACTAATTTATAGTAACGCTCCCTCTTCGACCTGTTGTGTGATTGTTCTGTGTATCTCCGCTCGTTATCTCTTGCCTGGATTAATTCTACAGCCTCAAGGAGACCTCCCTGCCCCAAGCCAGTCTTCCAAACTCATTATTCTGACCTGTCTTTCCTGGTTGCCAATCTGGGCAGGCTCACCACCTGTGGTGAAATAAATTGCAAACTATCCATATTGCAAAGCAGGAAAACTCTTCAGCTTGCTGCTCCAACCTACTTTTCCAGGCTCCTTGGCTAACGCATGCCCATGGCTAACGCACAGCCATGTTGAATCTGCATGTTGTGAGCCTGCACTCTGATTTTCTGTAGGTGGTTCTCTTTTACCTGCAATACCTTTCTTCCCATTTTTCCTGCAAATCTATTTATCCCTTACATCATATTTCTAATACCATTTCCTCTATTAAGTCATGCTGGTAGAAGCTCTTTTTCTGAGCTTGTTTGCTACTGTTAATATTAATGCCAATAAATACCATTATTATAATATACTTGACTTACTCCCTCACAATATAAACTCTTCAGGGTAGGGTCTTGTTTTGCTTACTATTATATTCCCAAGCTCTCAGAACCGTGAGTGCATCCTACATCCTAGGCACTCAGTAAACACTTACTAAGTGAATGAATGGTTAACATTTATTGAGCATTTACTATGTGAGGAGCTTTCACAAATTATCTCATTCCATCCTCACCACAGTCCTATGAGGAAGGAACTGTTTTTTATCCCAATTTTGAGAGGAAGCTGAAACTTAAAGAGATTAAGTAACTTGCTCAAGGTCACACGGTCGATATATGGCAAAGCTAGGACTTGACCCCTGATTTGTTTGGGTTTGAAATATCCTCAGTCTACCTTCGAAGTGGGTCTGCAGGGGTGCTTTACATGAAACTCTACTGTGGCTTACGGCAGGTGTTGAGCAATTAGAACAGTTGTCTGCAAGTAGTGGAAATATTTCTTGACATATTCCCTCTCTTCATTACACTCGTATTCCTTAATAACAGGAACTGAATGCTCATTATTTTACCACCACCACCACCCAGACGCCAAGCAGCCAACACAGTGACTTACACCATCTTGTGTTCACTAAATGTTTGTTGAATGAAATAACGGGTGTGCTCTTAAGAAACAGACTTTGGCTATAAATCTTTTTGCACTATCAGTAACTTTGAGCACTGTCCTGGTGGCTGCACCGAATCCAGTCACCGCTGCCTCTTCTAACCCTTTGCTCCTCAGCATGATGTAGGCTCGGGGCCATCCCTGGCTGACCCACGCTCCACCCTGACCCCAGCCCTTTGCCATCCTTCCTGTCCTTGTGAAATTCCTCTGCGTGCCTTCCTGCTGTAGTGGCCTGATCACGCTAAGCAAGTTCTGCCCCACCCTCTCCTCCTCTTGACCCCATGCTCCACTTGAAACTGACTGCTTCCCTGGTCATTCTTGTCGGGCAGGGCAACATGACATTCATGTAGATAATTTGAACACAGTGTGGATTGTGATAAACAGGGAGTCACGAGTCACTGTAGCAATTATGAAAAGGAAGGAATTCCTAATGAAATGATGGGCGAGCTGAAAGTGAATTGTCACTGTCTTTTTCATGCGCCTGTCAGTTGTTTTTTTATTTCAATAAAGAGTTAAGCTTATCAGGTTTGGCAATTATTTAGGATTGTTGATCGCAGGTAAGAGAAACTGGAGTGATTTGAACAAAAAGGGGATATTTATTATTACAAGGATACAGAATCTTTAAGAACCCAAGGGTTGGAATGCTGCCAGGTGTCAGAGAGAACTGTAAACAGGACCAGAAAATAGCCTGGGATGTGAGCAGCATTCTCCTTCCCTGTCTCACCCTTGCTGTCTCTGTACATCTGCCTTATTCTTTTCTCTCTGTGAACCTCCTCTAGTCCACAGACCTCAATGTGGTACATGGCTGATATGACTGCTGAGTATATTCTTGGTGAGAGTGAGTGTCCCCATTAAAATCACAAATTCCCAAGGAAATTTACCTGATTGGCCCAAGATGAGTCAGGTGCCTGCCCCTGGCCCAATCAGCTGTCACTAGCAGGACAGGATAACGTTGTTCAATGTGGCTGCCAGGCACCCATCTCTATGAAGAGAAAGAAGCAGAAAGGATCTTTGTAAATTATGCAGATTCTCCAAAAATGCCTGTGACACTTGTTGCTTTTTTTTTTTTTTTTTTTTTGGTTATAGCTGTTTTATAAGAGAATTTTGAATGCTTTTCCAGGAACAGAACAAATTAAGGAAATTTATTACTTTTCAGATTCTCAGAAACAAATACATAAATATGAATTACCATTTAGCCTCACCCTAATGAACTAATGCAATATCGCACTGGTAATTCTTTTATGTCAGTATTGTTCATCAAAGACCAAGAATCCTGGCTTCAACCAGGTGCCTCACATGCTTCTAGATGGCCTCTCAGACTGCAGCAAAAAGGAAAAAACAGGCTGTGTATTGTCTTCTCTGAGCCTTACACAAATGATGCCCACACCTCCCCTCCAGCAGTCAGAGTTCTCCTCTCTTCCTAATAAGTCAATGTAATTGGGTCTGAGGAGACAGAATCCCTGCCTTCTGAGGGTTGACCACTGCCACCAGTTCTGAGAGAGCTAGCCTTGACCACTGCTTCTTCATGTGGTTTGAGGTTGGGAGAGAAGGAACTGGGATCACTCTTTCTTTCATTCTGCTCTGGTCTTGCCAATTCAGTAAGGATAATCTGAAAAGTTTACCCAACTCAGAAGTGGGAAAGCTGGAGTTAGGTTGGCCCCGGCAGTTTCAAACCTCATGTCCAGTCTTGCTGAACCTGGCCCTCTGGGCATGACTGTGTGGGCTGTGGCTCACCACCAGGGATGACATGTGCTGCGTGGGCCCTCAGAATGGGTGGCATGCACCAGGCTGTGGGGAGGTGGGACCAGTACCCTGTCCTGGAAAATGACTCTTCTCCTCGCAAGGAATGCTGCAGTCTCCCTGAACCTTTCAGTGATAGCATCCTGGTTTGTCTTCCAGGCTCCCTGGGTACAGCTGGCCGTGTGTGCAACCTGACTTCCCGAGGCATGGACAGCTGTGAAGTCATGTGCTGTGGGAGAGGCTATGACACCTCCCGGGTCACCCGGATGACCAAGTGTGAGTGTAAGTTCCACTGGTGCTGTGCCGTGCGCTGTCAGGACTGCCTGGAGGCTCTGGATGTGCACACATGCAAGGCCCCCAAGAATGCTGATTGGGCGGCTCCCACATGACCCCAGAGGAGGTTCACCTTCCCTCTGCCAACGAATCCATTGGATCTGCAAGAACACTGGGCCTTTGGGTTCTCTCGGGGAGATATTTCCAAGGCATGTGACCTTTGTCTCAACAGAAGCCCCTTCTCCCTCCCTCAGGGCCCAGGCCGGGGCCACATGCTATACACAAAGCATGCCCAATTCTCTCTGACTTCCAGCTTTTGGGATACCTCTCTTCCTGGTCATGACAAAGCTGTTAGAGGGGATGGGGATATGGGTCCTGATCAGTGTCTCCACCTAGAAGCTTCCTTTTTCTAGAGCAGTTGACCAGAGGGAAAAAGAGTATCTCAAAAGAACCTTCTGCATCCTACAACAAATGCGCACAATAAGAAATTCCATACTTCCATCTGGAGGGAAAATAAAGACAGCAAACTCAACTACCACTGAATTAACTTTAATTATTGAAAAGACCAAGCAAGGTTTTTGCCTAATCAAGTGATCTTCATAGCCATCACCCTTTGGAGTAATTAGGAATTGCCTAGCAGAGGATGGCTTTCAATAAACTAAGTTTGAAAGCAATTTTTTTCCAGGCATTTATTACCATATTAAAACCTGATGTGAGAAGGCATGATTGTTGTCCTTTGGTATAATTTTGAATCTTTGCAATAGCAAAAGCCTCAGAAATTGATTGTTTCTGCATTACTGCTCCCTCAAGATAAAGAGCCTTGAGAAATGGACAAGACTTTGTCTCATTTAGGATCTGTAGGGCATTAAAAGGAAGGTTTATTATCTGGCAGGATTCTGTAACCATTGGGAGAAAGTAGAGGAAAATAACTTAGTGAGTGGAATATCAGAAATGTGTCTGTACAGATAAGAAAAAAGGGAGGAATAAAATTTCTGTCTGGTATAATGCAGGTGGCCCATGGAATTTTGTAACTGACATGGCTTTGGGAATGCAAACTGTGGGGTTGACAAGACCACAGGACCAAAATGCTGACAGAGAGCTTTCCAGAGTTAAGTTGTGCCCAGACAGCCTTTACCCGTAAGCAGATGCCTAAAATAAGTTGGCCACGTGTGCAGACGAGCATCTACTGGTACCCATCACCCTTCCAGCACATCTGAAGCTTACAAGATGACAAGATACCATAGCCTAAAGCAAATGGCACATGGCTTTGTGTATAAAGTTAGTTACCAGAGCATATTATGTTACAAACAAATCGTAACGTGGAGATTACATATAAGAGACCCAGCTGTAATTATGGGAGCATCAATATGAAAATTGTGGTCAGCTCCTGCCACAAGCGAAAGATGACATCCAGGGAAAATGGAGAGGCCGCCTGGCCCACTTTGCAAATTAAATGAAAGAAAGGTGAAATAGATGAAGCAGCTTCTCATCCCCTTAAACACTTAGGTTGGTATTCTAAACAGACTCTTCACAAAACTCCATTAACTAACAGGACGTTTCATTACACACATCTGATGTCCAACTGTTGACACTTGCTCGTTTTCTGATTCTTTGACCTCCTGTTTTCTCTCTTCTTGCTTTCAGGGGGGCATTTAGGCTGAGATTAGTGGGTAACAGCCTGCTGGAGTGTTTCATTGTGATCAATATGTGCGTCCTAGTCCTTTTAAAAATGACAGTGTTCTTCTTCACTGTCGAACTCCAGAATCAGTTAGCTAATGTTTCTGAAGTGGTTCTTTCCTCTTTTGATTCTATGGAGTCAGAGAGAGGGGGAGAGTGGGGGTGGCACCTACGGGGGAGTGGGAAGGCCAGAACTGTGGGCTCAGTCTTAGTCACACCAAAACGTGCTGTGAATGAAGGGGCTTTTTTAGGGGTCCCAAACCATCAGCCCTTCTTCCTCCTGGGTGAACTGTGAAATCATAAGTCCATGGATGTATTTAGACTTGGAAAGGCTCTTAGAGGACATCTCAACTCCCCTTAGTTTGCATCTGGGAAAACTGAGCCCAAAAAAAGTGAAGGAATCTGCACAGACATCCACCATTATCCCAGTGCGCCATAAATAGGATCACGTACCAAAAGTACTGGAGAAAATTAAGCACTTTATCTAGGAATAAAATTAGTTTGTCTCAGAATTAACTCAGTGGGGTCTAAGTAATTTTAGCATTCAAGAGGATATTCAGTATTGGTTTTTCTTTCATCCCTGAGATGATCTAACTTTTTATCCTGAAATGCATCCTTTCTGATAAGAAACAAGGGGACAGGCATTGCCTTAGAGAAATTGCTCTGATGTGTAAGGGAGGCCTCCATCTCAGATGGCAGTTGGGTTTGGCCTTTAAAGAGAGCAAAATAAGAAAGTGAAGTACTTTTATATGTTTTCACTTCTAAAAGAGAAAATCTTCATTATTTGAAAAAAAATTATAAAAACAGATGAAGATCATTTCAAACCCATTTTCCTTAGGGTTTGATAGAAGATCAACATCCCACCATCCTAAGCTATACTAAAACTTGATTATCTGAGACCTCAAGAGATTGTATGGCACAAACTGCCCAAAACTATAAAAGAACGAGAGTTCCACTCAGGTGAGACGCCTTCACAAATTCTCTCCCAATGAAAATCTTATAAATTGAAATTTTCTAGCCCAAGAGGATGCTTATTCATTTTCTATAAAATCTGAAAAATCCCTACACAATAGAAGATCTTGACTATTTTACTGAAATTTTCTACAATAAAAACTATAATCTGCAATTGACTCTGAGACTTAGCAAATGGGGTGTGTTTTCATCAATAGATTTGCCTCCCCAAATTGGTCTGCGGTGCCGATGGACCTTGTCTGTATTCTGTGAACACACATTGTCAGGGGTCATTCTCATTATGGTATCCTGGACAGCCCCTCAAGCTCTGGAAGACTTAGCACTCTGCCATGAGAGACAATGTACCCCTCAGACAGCTTCAGCTCAAGCACCAAGTCTTCATGCTAGCTCAGGGATGGGGCCTTGACATGTTATTCAAAACAGATGCTTCAGAAGTGGCAGAGGCATAGAGCACTCGAGGACACTGACTCTCTGCTCTTCCTTTATATGGGTGTCACCAGATTGAAAAGAACATCCAGTGGAGTGATGAAATGACAATTTAGTCTACACAAGGCCAGGTAATGGGAGGAAGGAGGGAGGAAATGCATCTCAGAACTCTTGTCAAACGACCAGCTGAGCATGGTGATGGCGGCTTGGCGCTTGTGCAGCTCTGTTGGTAACCTCTACTCTTCCTTCAGCTTCTGCTTTCCTGTCCCCTCCCAGTACCTACTTCCAGAGGATGCGCAGAGGCTCAGGCACTGCTCAGAACCTCCAGCCCCATTGTGTAGCTCCACTAGAGGCTGCCAATGTTCTCAAGAGATGTTTTCAATCATCAGAACCATATTCCTTTATATTGGAGTCATTGCAAAGCTTGAAAAAACTCACATTTCCTTTTCAAAAGGGGTATTTTTACAGTCAGAAAATCCGGCTTCACATGGACATTTCTTGGCCTTCCTAATTTATTAGGGAATCTTACATCTACTCCACAAGAGCTAAAGCAGGTCTCGCTTGCTCAGAAGCAGCCAACATGACCGAGCATGTGCTTGGGCTTGATGGCATTTTCAGGCCCGGATATTGTTATTACTTCTCCTTTATTAAAGCTTGGCTCAGGGCTGGTGTTGTCTCGCTCAGCTGAAGAACATTCATCTTCCCTCTTGCCTGCTCTCAAAATAAAGGCTCAGAGTGGTGTCCAGTGGACCAGAACCACTCTTTTGTGTCTATTTACCAAACTTCAACCTGGGCTTCCTTATCCTGAGAGCATGAGTTATTCTCTTAACAAATAGATCTCACCAGTTCCAAAGCTGGTAAATTGCTTTTGTCAGGTCTGTGCTGACCTTCTGCAAAGCGATCCGCTGGGGTAAGCTGACAGCTAAGGCATGCTTATTTTGACCTTCTCCTTACCTAGGCAGAGAAAATTCTCACTCATCCATGAGAATGTGCTTTACATTTTTCTGAGGATCAGTGATGTGACAGGTAGTTTGTAAAGCCCAACATGATCATTATTTTTCTAAATCATAGTTGTTTCAGTTCTAGGTTTTTTTCCTAATATTCACATGGATTCCTGTTTAACTAAACCTCCCACTTCCACAAGCTAATAAATGTGTCACGCAGATTGTTACAAAGAACTATTGTTATTTACAAGTCTACATTTTCTGTGAAATCAAAACATAATAAAGTGAATTTTCAGTGTTGACTTTGTTATTTTAAATGTCTTGCCAAACCCTCTGGGGAAAAGAAATCCCTGCAGGTTATGGGAACAATTCCCTTGTCTTTTCTCAAGACCACATTTAATACAACTTGATCAAGAGGTGTCTTTCCAGACTCTAAAGATTTTCAGGAGAGGCAATTGACTTATCTTACTGTAACTATTCTTGTGAGTTCCTGAGTAAGACAATCTGAATTGAGAAATTGCTCCGTATTTTCACCCTGTGTTCTCCTGTGGTTAACATCGAAGTGCTTGCCCCCTGTGGGTGCCAGCATGCTTTCACCATGTTTATAAATTCAGTGTATAAATTCCACAGCAGCTAGACCCCTCCGCATCGACTTCTCTGAATTATTGCTTTCCATACAAGTGTTTGTTCATGACTGAAATGGCATTTTCTCAGCTTGATGAGAAATACAATATCCCTTGACTCTACATTGAGATTCGTGTATCCTAATTGTGTGTGCTACTTACATAGAAGCAACAAAACCCTAGAAAATGAAAATCAAATCTCCCCCAGTAAAGGAAATGCATGCACCCTATTTTCCTTCCCCAATGAATTATGTTTTGGGGTGATCTGACTAAGCACTTCAAGTACCCCAAGATGGTCCCGTGGTCAGGCAGCTTGCTGTCCCTTTAGCATTCCATTGTTCCTTCCAGAAACCGCTTTACTTAGATGATCTGAGGATGATATGGCAACATGTCTCTCTGTGTTTTTCAAATGGCATTTCCCTCAAATATTTTTGCCTAAATATTGGCAATGAAATTTCCCTATTACCTAATCCTTTGTTTGCAAAAGCTGTCCTGTGCGTTATAGGATATTTAGAAACAATCCTGGTCTCAACCCACTAGACACTAGAAGCAACTCCTCTGCTCCCCCATTGTTACAACCAAAAGTGTCTCCAGATATTGCCAAAATCCCCAGTGGGGGAAGGGGAAATAGTGAAACAGTTCCTGATTGAGAACCACTGATCTAACGCTTGGTCTATGTCCTCTGTTGAAATACAAGCCATATATATTCCTGTCATTTTCAGTTTAAGAACACTTCACAAGGTGTATTAGCTTAACGGAATTAAGCTAATGATACAGTGTTAATGTATCAGACTAGTTGGCAAGGAATCTTTTGGGGAGGATGTAGTTGTCGAAGTCCACAGCATCATGGAGAGCAAAAAGAGGAGGCCTGAGATTTGAAGCTCACTTGGGTCTACAACGCGGGTCTAAATGTGGAGGAAAGCATAGGGCGTCTGGGTTTCTGGGAGATGGCCGTTAACTGTGGGAATCAAAGGAAGGATGGATGATTTGCAAAGAGAAACAACAATATGGTTTTAGAAGCCAGAGGCAGAATTTTTCTTAGGAACTCCTCAATTTCATAATAGTCAGTGAAAAAAAAAGAAGTCCCTAGAAAAATGGCCTGGAAGGTGGAGAGTGACAGCACTATAACCCTGCATAAAATAGTTGAGTGCTTTTGAGTTTCTCAGGACAGAGGAGAGGGTTATAATAAAGAGGGGCACTGCAAAATGGAGAAAGACTGCTTCAAGTACAGATCCTGAGAACTTGTTTAAAGCCAGAGTGAGTATCACTTTCAAGTTGATCATGAAACATACCCCCGGCCCCCACCACCAACACATATACCCTGGCAGGTGACCCTATGGCAGGTAACCCTAACCTTGGGTGGTATTTTAGTAGAGTGAAGCAAAGTATGTTCAACACATGCCAACAAAAGCGGGAAAGAGACAGCACAGGCTGGACACAAGTTGAGATAGAGTGGAGAAAGAAAGATGCCTCACTGAGGACAGAGAGGGTCACTCAGCTGGGTGGAGAACTTGGACTAGATAACAATCGGCTGAAAGAAGGGACCAGAAAGTCTCTTTTCTTTTTCATGACGGTTTTTCCTGGACCAAACTGAATTTATATTTTAGGCCATTGAAAGTAGTAAACAGCAGAAAGGAATCACTTAGATGATAATTCTTTAACTGCTCCTTAATGCTATTACCTAGTTCTAGATAACACAGTGAGATCAAAATCTCATCAACACAATCGATTTCTATTTAGACTATTTTTGGATTTGTAACTTGATTTTGTAATTTCCAAGTAGTAATTGACCCTGTGAAAGCCCCTGTAATTGAATCACGGGCTCTGGATTTCCCCAGGCAGTCTACCCAATCCTATTTTAATAGCATTGAGCAGACTTTTTTAAGTTCCACAGACAAGAGGAATCACATTACTGCCCGTAAACCCAATTCAAATAATTAATGACAAAGATGCATCCAGTATCCACTCCGTTGGATTGCTCCCACTGGTTACTTCAGCAGAGATTGGGGAGCTTTGCAAACCCATCTGTAAATGTTTAGGGGTTTCATGTTACACAGGTGGAGGTCACACACCAGCCGAACAAATAGCAGGAACTATAGAAAACGAAATCTGAATTGGAGTCTCCAAAAGTCTACTTGCCATATAAACTTTGGCATATACGCCT